TTGTGAATCTACAGGCCATCCCTTTCTCCCTCCCTCACTTCCTGGAGGCCCAAGGCAAGGGATGTCAAGAACCACTGGCTGTTTTTAATTCTCAGTCAGCGGTGGGGGTGGACAGGTTGGGGGCCTAGACTCCTAGGAGATGCCCTGAGCCCCACATTCCTGGCCTCCTTTCCCAGGGATCCAGGCTGTGGGCTGTGGGAGGTGGGGGATTTCAAATGTTCCTCTCCGTGTGTGCCGGAGGTAACAGACTGGAGAAATCTGCCTCTGAATTTCCTGGCTCTTTTCCCGATTCCTCAGCTTGAGGGGACAGAGGGGAAACCGGCTTCTCCCCATCTTCGCAGACATGCTGTGACTGCACTCCAGGGGCTCTAGGCCCAGATGCTTGGAAGGTTCCTTCCCTGTCTGCCTTAAGTCCTTTCTACTGCAGAGCTCTGCGGTCCTGGAGGGGCTCCATGGAATAGTCAAAGCCCCTTCCAGATATCTGAAACCCACTCCTCACCTCCCTCTGTGCTCTCTTCTCTGGCTGGGGATGCGAGGGAAGGGGAGGGTGGAGACCTTGGGAAAGGGGCCATGTTCAAAATAGGAGCCCCAGCCGCACCCCCCATGGCCCCTTATTTATCACCTTCCAAACCTCACTCTCAAAGAAGCATAAATATTCCTAATTCCTGAAGGCCAACCCTGGACTCATAAATTTAACTAGGGGGGTGGGCAAGGGGGAGGAGTGAGATGTAGGGAATGGGGAGCCTTCTGCAGACTGGAGGAAGCAGAATACCTCCACGGGGAGGCGCCTGCCTTGTCCCCTGCAATGGGCGGTGGGTCTTCACTGAGATGAGTAGTAGCTCTGTGACTCTGTTTCTATCAATAGTCCCCCTGAGGATTAGTCTTTTCTCCCTGCGCCCCCCAAAACAACCCTACCTGGCTTCTGGCCTCCTCATAAGTGCTCTGCGGTCTTCCTCCCCTCTCTGTGCCCTTACCTTGCAAGTGAGGACCTTTCCTCCACACCCCCCCCCAACTTCCCCTTTTCAGAGTCATTGCCTGGACAGCCAGGTTTGAAGAAAAGTCCCAGATTTCATGCTTCCGTCCAGTTGCTCCTCAGATGCGCCATTCCTCTCGGTGCCCCCTCCTTTCTTCTTCTCTGACTCCCCTTTTTCTCCTGCACCCCCTTTCCCCTTCAGCCTCCCTTGCCCCCAGCCTTTCTTTCTGTCACCTTTTGCCCCTCCGTTTCCCCTTTCGCTCTTCAGTTTAGTGTCCCCTCTCCCTCTTGAGTCTCCTTTCCCTACTCGACCCTACCCGCACCCCCCAGAACTCCCCCCACGTGTACCCCTCGGACCCCGTCACCCCTCCAGTTCCCGTCACCATACCCCTTCCCCTCCCAGTGGATGAACGAGAAGAGAGGTGGGGGCCTGGGGAACAGGTAGAGGGAGCGCGATTCCTGGAGGGGAGGATAAAAGGGAGAAAAAGCGGAGGGGGGAGGGGAGCGGTGGCGAGGGGAGGGGCATCCTCATCCCAGCTGCGCCCCCCCCCCCCGCCGCCGAGCCATAAATCAGGGCCCTCGCGGCTCGGCCAATGGCAGAGTGCCTCGTAAATCGGCCTGTCAAGCTCAGCCAATGAGAGGTGGCGTTAAATCAAGCGCTGTCAGCGCCTGGCCAATGAAAGAC